CTATACTATACTATACTATACCATACCATACTATACTATACTATACTACACTATACTATACTACACTATATTACACTATACCATACTATACTATACCATACTATACTATAATATACTATATTATACTATATTATATTATACCATACCATACTATGCCATACCATACTATGCTATACTATACTATACTATACTATACTATACCGTACTATACCATACTATACTATAATATACTATATTACACTATACCATATTATACCATACTATACTATGCCATACCATACTATGCTATGCTATACTATACCATACTGTACTTTACTATACTATACTACACTATACTACGCCATACTATGCTATACCATACTATACCATACCATACCATGCTATACCAATACTATACTGTTTGATTCCTGCCAACTCCACCAGCCGGTCTGATCCGTTCATGTCCATCCGCCCTTCACGACGATATTTTAACCAAACTCGGCGTGAGATTAACACATTGCATTAGATTACATTAATCAAGAAAGGCAGGAACTTTTCCAGTACCCCCTTTGTTCGCATTCCATGGCTGCATCAGACGTGACGTGATCATTTTATCGAGTTGTACCAACAACTGCGATCTCCTATTTTGCGCCAGGTTGTTTCTCACCTGATCTACGACCATGTCTCAACCGACGTCTGTACAACTAAGATGACGATTGGTTTACTGTTCCGGAACATTATTCCTCATCTGTCTTCCCTTGTCTGGACTTATTCCCAAACCCGTTTACTTTTACTTTTTCTCCCGTCCGGCACTTTTTAGCTCACAGATCTCCACTGTCCCAATCCATGCTGGCGTCCAAATGCTTGCTCCAGCGTCCAGCACTCGACAGGCGTTTGTCACGTGGTATCCGACCCTACTCTTCGATTACAAATACATCACCGACTGCGGAGCAGTTTACGCGGCATCTACGATCTAGACCATCGATGCGATTGCGATAGGAACTATGTGTTTAATCGCACAGAAAATAAGTGTATTCAAATGAAAACGGAGTGCAGTCCGAATGAGTAAGTGCCAATTCAATGTGTATACTATAACATTTCGGAAAGATACTTTTAGGAGCACAACATCGGTTCTGAACACTAGCGTCTCGCCGCCGTACACTCAATGCTGAAAAAAGAGCAAAAGGTGACCGGAGAGAGACTCAGTGTTGGCTTAGTGTCAGTGTTTCAAGGTTTCGAGAAACTCACTAAGATAATTTGGGTGGAAAGTGATTAGAGGAACTCTACTGATAGCAGAGAACGTCACGCGGAGGCAGCCCTACTGAGTCTGAAAGACAGTAACCAGATTTATTTGTAGTTGACTCTTGGGTATGGGTAGTCCATTGGTTAGCATACTCATACTTACGTCTACCGACTAATTCAGTTTTGACGGGAGGCTCACCTGAAATCCAACTGACTCTCTCATTTGCGATGTTCGCAATCCAACTCAGTGTGCTGCACCAGGCCACCTCATGTTTCAGTTGGTTCGATATTTCAGACAGAAAGCACTACTCATAAGGTTGCTGATAACTCTTCGAAAGCCCACGACCGATTTAGTCCTTCTTAAGGCTCATCAGATAGACGCAGTTGCCGAGATCGCATCAATCTTATAATCTACTTGAGCCCAAATAGCATGAAATTAGCATTACACGCTTATCTGCAAACGAAGAGTTTTTGACGCGAGGCTCGCCGGAAATCTAGCTGAGGCTGTCGTTTTTTATGTGATTGAGAAATCACGGACTTTGGTTTCAACAACAGTTTCAACTTCGGTTTCAATTCCGGTATGAGGATTTTCGAAATGATTATGATGATGATGATGATGACGACGACGATGATCAACTCGGTCTGTCACTCAGAAGACTGAAAGAAGCGAAATCCGGAAAGTGATCGTCCCTTCTAATTTGTTGCTAAGCCTTACATCTATGATATCCTTTCCAGGAGAAGTGAGATCATGTAACCTTGGTACAGGTAGGATGAACATAGTTACTCTCGGTAGGTGTTGGTATTGATCGGAAAAATGGACGGTCGTTTGCATGGTTTCCACCAAAGAAACATTGCCGCTTCTGGCACACCTCTGCAGATTTAGGACATCGAGATAGATACACTTGTTTCACAGGTCTCTAAATTTTAATATTTTTTAAAAGTATTTGACGAGTTCACACCAAAGAGCTGTTATTGATGCTCATCATCAGGTTTCAAGCGTCCATGCCCTTTCCTAACCTGGAAGTCCTGACAGGCGGATCGGTCGATCGACAAAACCAGGACGGCTATTGAGTCATCGTTTGGGGTGCGTGGACTATGCAGGTATCGGATAACTGTATTGATTAATACCAGTTTAGTCGTCTATCTACAAGAAGCACTCGGCACTCAGAGGGAGTTCCTCCGCCTCTCCAAAGGGTACCTCTTGTGTTTTTACTGTATTCAATAGTTATAAACAGTTTTTCTGAGGGAGAAAGGGAGTCTCTCGATATACTGTGAGTATAAAACACATGAATAACACTGGTGCTTAATTCTGGTTCCTACAGGCTTATCAACATGTTTAGTGGAAGTTTCTCCGGTTAGAAAACAAACCAGTTCAGTCGTATTATGCTAAATACTTTCTTGCTTACGTGGATCGTTACCTTGCGTTCAAAAGACGATGAGTCAAGTGTCACATACGCCAATGTTTCTTTTCGGTTTGCTTCATGTCTTCAGATTTATAGCTGCCCTATCTAATTTAGCTATAGTGAGGTTGGGTTATTCGCAGTTGAAAGGGAGACAGGCCAGGGATCCACAAAAAGCTGGTTGTCTTGAGTTGATGCCTTTTTTGGCAGTAACATTTCCGGCAGACTGGAATCTACAGATGCTAAATAAAACGTCCACTTTCGACTTTTTATGACCTTGTGGCCTCAATGACTTCAATCGTACGCAAAGTGCAGTTCCTGGAGCCGAGCAAGTGAGGAATCGTCAGACAGGCTGTCACTGGCATCGTGATTGTGTTATTACGCGCCAAACCGCCACGTGATGCTAACCTAGAATTCTGAGTATTTGAATTTTGCATCTTAAAAGGGACCGTTAAAGAACAGTTCAGTAATGAGCCTCACAATGGGCAAAAGGGGTAGGTGTCCGCCGCTGTTATGGCCACGGATGGGCAAGTATTTTCTTGTATGGTTCAGTCCTGCCTTCTTATGGTTCACGGCAGAAAACTGGCGATCACTGGCTTTGCAATGCTCGATACGCTCTGATATACCTCATGAGTTCGAAGGCGCTGCTGATGTGAACAGGTATACAGCAACAAATACTATTTAGGTTCGAACCTTTCCAAACTAAGTTCTATTTCATTGCGTCTTGCAAACTGTTGCAAGTATCGATTGGGTCATTCAATAGGATGTACATTTTTTCTGTAAACGAGACATTTTCTGGTCAGAAATAAAACAAACGGATGTTTTAGGAAAGCATACGCCATTCACCGACATAGGTGGCTGATTGAAGTTCATCTCTCCACCTATACCGTACACTTATTAGCGGTGGGTACTTCAGTCGCGGAAAGCATCCAGCTAGATCAACTGAGGTGGATCGTTCTTTTACTACGTATGCCCCTTGCCTCCAGCAGGATGGCGCAGACTGCGTGTTTGACAACGTTTGACTCGGCAGAAAGAGATTACGAAGAATTTAGGGTTTATTCTGGCGATCCGGTTCCCAGGCGTTCATCTTGCGCTAAAGTCGAGACATTGGAAGAAATGCCGGGTAATCGACGTTGGTGGCGTTCTCACTCGCAGTTTCTTTCCAGATTGTTCGGTTGAGTAATTGGTGGCCTAGGCACATCAGAATGCTTGTCCACATCGACTTTCCGCATCCTTGGTAGCCCTCGACTTCAGGAGTATAATCACAAATCTTCCGAACTCTCAAAACGATCGTGAGTCCAGTCGAATCAGATTAATTGCTACGTTTTGACATTTATATTCAACTGATTCTCCGTCATCTTGTTTATATCTGTTCCTTTCACAGCTGCTACAATGGTGGACTTTGTGAGTCACTGCCGGTCAACAGGCGTGGGATTGGAGGAATGACCTATGTGTGCCATTGTCCACCCGCATGGCAAGGTCCACTGTGTGAGGTAGGGAATTCGATTACCACTCCTCGCTGAAGTGATAAACCCTAGGTAGCAACAGACATTCAGACACTCTTCGCTATGGTTGCTTGTGATTTGTATTCACATCACTCTCATTTAGTCAGTCCTCCTCGTCATAACCACTTCCCCTCCCTCGCCAGATCAACTGTTAAGACGAATTCCGTGACTAGCTAAACTAGTTAAAATTTGTCCAAAGAATCCGTAGCGATACCTGACTTTTCAACCCTGGAAAAACAAGTCAACTGACCGATACCAACGGGATAATGACTGAGTCGTCCTTCACCATTACCAAATATTCTTTGTAAATATAGGTACTTCTAGCTTGGAATGACATTTCAGAGCTAAGCTTGTAACTCCGGCCGGTAAATCAAACCCATCCATGCCAAAGAGCCGAGAAGCACCGTAAAACTTTTTCATGCTTCTTGGAAATCATCATCTCACGATTCTACAGAGAGACAGGAATCTGTGACTCTCCAGTTTACTGGCGAAACACTGTAATATTCGACCAACAGTGACCGAGCAGTTCGGATCACGCGAAGTAGGTTCGGCTGGCCTCCTGGGTGATGACTTTTCAAAAGCAGGAGTCACGTGAATTTTCTTTTTTCCCTTTCTGGGTAGTTGGTGGCATGCAACTGAGAATTAAAAGACTCATTTTTTTATTTTAAATCTCTCCTTCCAAATGCTCATCTAGATCGATGTGCCGGTTTGCAAAGCGCCGTGTTAACGCACCAAGTTATTGTGGTAATGAATGGTCGGAAATCTGCTAGTGAACTATTATGAAGTTTTTCGTACATGCTCAGAGTGAGAAAAAGACACGTGATCCTATTCCTTCTGATTTACGTTCACTTCTGCAATAACATCGACAGTGGGTAACAGGGAGCACTCGATTGAATGAGCATAGCTCATAGTGAAACGGTATTTGCATTTTAACTAGCTGATTTATACTCACCACTGAAAGCCGAGAATAACACAGATCACAAATTGTCTGAGAGGAGGAGCTGAACAGATGCTTGGCAGTAAAGAAAGTGAAAATGTCATGCAGCGATCAATAAAAGTGATCCAAGGTCTAAAAAAGAACCGTTTAAAACGGAAGAGCTCTTGAACCGAATGCAGACAAGGCAGTCGTATGACAGAAACCACGGTAGCTCTGAGTCTCAGTCGATATTGACTCGGTGTTCCGAATCAACGACTCACAACATCAGACTATTGCTGGAGGTATCAAGAAGTGTAAATGTGAACTCCAGTGATAATTTCTTGGGGTTGTCAGCTAGACGTACTTACTGCGATGACAGTACCGACTAAGTTTATGAACCAATGATAGAATCCTTCAACTTTTCTGAAATAGTTCGACCAGCATTAGGCTTGACAAACTATACCTCGTGTTCTACTTGAACCCAAGTTGCACGGAATTCGCGAAACACACTCAGTTGCACATCAACTTGCTTTTAACTTAATCTCAGCTAAATGGTATGCTTCAGGTGGATGTGTTGTATAACGACCCCCTCGTGTTTCAATTGATGCGACATCTAGATAAATCGAAGTGCATTTTCCTCAAGAATCAATACTCAAAAACTCGACAGCCCACTACCCAAGTCGTACAAAATTCGGGAAAATGTACTGTTATACCTCGAATTTCGTGATTACTGACAGAAGCGGAGGCCCTTATACAACACATTTAGTTGACGAATGTGATCAACGTGAGATCCATCCGGGATTCATTTGAGTCTTTCATACGTTATCTGGTCTGGGAACCTAACTGTATTCTTCTGTTTCCGTATGCACGAGACCTTCTGCGATGGCCGCATCAGTGCAGTCACTGAACACGCCACTTACAATCCAGGGAGAGGTACTAAAAGTTGTGGAGCGTTTTAGCATATTTGGAGTTATATTAGTTCTGATTGTAGTGTGACAGATGAGGTGAATGCACGAACCTGCATGGATCGGGTCGCGTTTGCTAATTTGAGACACCTATGGCGTCAGAGTGGTTTATCCCTGAATCTCAAGGGAAGTGCGTATCAAGCTGTAGTACGGACTGTCTTTCGTGGTATGGCTGTAAGATTTGGCCTATTCAAGCAGCGGAACTGAGACGTCTTCACGTGTTCGACAATCCTTGTCTCAGAACCATAGCTCGTGTGGGTTGGTGTCGGCGAATCCGTAAGGAGGCAGTTAGAAAGTGAGTTTCGGTTGCCCAACTGGTACTTCCATTGAAGAATGTGTCCCGCACCAGAAGCTACGGGGTTGGGACCATGTGTTGCGTATGCCAAACCATCGTTTGCCGAAGAGAGTGCTGTTTTCCATGCTCAATTCGGAGTGGCGTAAGCAGAGAGGTGGCCAACCTTTGACCTGGCAGAAGAGTATGAAGGGGATCTGGAAACGCTTGGGTGCTGTCGTGCTACTCGC